AAAGAAGCAATGAAATATAACATTGATTCAGGTTGCAATAAGCCTGGTTACCAAACCTATTTTAGCTCCCGAGTCTTTTATCCTCTGTGCATTGAGATAAAACACTCGGGAGCCTAAACAGGTTTGGTAACCAGGCTAGGTTGGAATATAATGGTAGGACTGAACTATTATAACATTACATAAACATTATATTAGACATACATGTATATTACATATGTATAGCATTTTTCACAGCTATTCATCGCAATTGAAAATTCATGAATCTGTCAACAATGTTAGAAACAACAGAGAGAGAGATATTATCATTAAAGTTCATCTGTGTTGGTAGTTATCATAGCAAAACGTTGAACTTTATTCCAACACACAATTTACAGATTTTCAGCGATCAGTCATTAATTATCCTGATGAAGGCGACAGTGGTCACTGAAAATTTGGTCTCTCTGTAAACTGTGCGTTGGAATAAAGTTCAACGTTTTACTATGAGGGAGAGATACATGTATTATATAATCACCATCTTAGCAGCTTCCTTCAGTAGAGGCTTGAGGGAGGGGGTAGCTCTGGCACGCAGAGTGTAGTCATCTGCACAAAACAAGTTTGAGGGAAAATGATTAAAAAGCAGTTTTATCATTTTCAACATATCAACTGTCTAATCTAGCTGAGTAAATATCATGCCAGCATTTAAAGGAATTCTGTTGTTCATGACAGACACAATAGCTTTCCTGGTGTACAGAATTGATCAACATTTCACAGAATATAGAAAAGCTAAGAATTTGCTAGCCAGTAGGATTTAAGGGCCGAAACAAATCAAGAGTTGGGATTCGTTGTTAAGAAATGGTTAAAGTGATGCTAAATCTTGTTATGTGGTCTCACCTCGAACTGCATTGTCCACGTTCAGGTAGGCCACAGCTCGATCTGACATGATCTTGCCAAATTCCTGAAATTGAGCAGCAGAGGGTTGCTTATACCTTCACATCAATTTATCAGTGAATGCAGCGTGTCCTTTGTTCATGTACAATGTTCCAAAATTTCAGATAGCATCTATAGGAATTGACAATGGGGTCTTTCCTTGGTGCTGAAACCAATATCTCACAACATTTCTCCATTGAGTAGTAGAACAACAACAAAATATTGTCGAAAATGACTTACAGAAGTAAAATGATATGTTAATCTTACCTCGATCCACTCATACGACCCATGCATCCCATGCTCCTCTGCATCCCAACTGACGAACATCAAGGTGCGTCTGGGGCGCCACCCTGCGAAAAATTTAGGTATTGCAGTCTCATAAAGCATGATCTTTTAAAGGTAAAAAAACGTGTATACGTGCTGAACATGGTCCCTCATTTTGTTCTTCTCATTTATTTGCATCCAATTTACAGGTAACATTGCTTTTATCGGGGTTTTACGAGTAAGAACGTGGTTTGGTAATCATCGCATATGATATTATGACTGACATATTTTGCTTTTTGTCTGATACTCGTTAAATATATTTGAGTAAACAAATGATGAGTGACAGTACCTCTTCTCATCATTTCTCCCAAGACCCGTGTGATCTCCAGCAGACAGGCGGTGCCACTGTTAGGGTCCACCCCGCCAAAGGTCCAGGCATCCCGGTGGTTACCAAGAATCACGTATCGGTCTGGAGAAGCAACAGGTACACACGTAAATTTAAAGCATACCATTGAAAATTACCTACACCAGACAAGCGTTACCTGTACTACCGAGAATTCAGAAAATATGGATCACATTAAAATGTCTCAAGAAGAGAGAAGAAACGTGTAAAGCATAGATATACTATAGAAAGTTTTAAACAACTGCTGCAAATAAATGTGCATAGATTGAGTGTAACAGGTCGTTCGGTGTAATGTAGCCAGCTGCCGGCGCGCCGAGTGCCTGCGAAGCTGGTGTGTTACGCCGAAGGGCGGTTATACCGACTATACAGATACAGTAGCTGGTGTGTTACGTCGAATGGCGGTTATATCGGCTACAGCTACTAGTACCTAGTAGATAGAACTCCTTGATAATGCTTACCTGGTTCCTCCCTTCCCCGGATTATCCCCACCACATTGTGAACGGTCCTCACCTCAGTTTCAACATTCACATCCAAACGAACCTTACTGGAAGAGACAGAATTTATCAACAACACAATTTAAAGAATGGAGGCCCCTGTTTTTGGAGGGCAACAAAATCTATACATATTACAAAATCTGCATTAAAGGCATCCAATACAATTTCAGGGCAGCAAAACTGGAAATATTCTGAACTAGAAAGGCCAATATTTGCTTTGGAGCAAATACAGCGATGGGTTCACCACATTTTACGACATGGCAGGGAAAGAATGAGAAACACAAGGGAAAACAATGATTTACATTGATATAACTATAATATGAAGTAAAATACAACTAAAACAACAGTTGGATAGCTATTCCCTACTTTATTGGTTAGGATTTTTAATTGCATAATGCAAACTGTTGATTTTCAAAATAAAAAAAAACGTCCATGCCCCGCATTCCAATGCTGGAGCAGGAAAGCTTGAAATACCTACCAAAACACTTGAATACAGACATACTGTCAGTATGGAAATGCTCTGTGCAGGTGTTAATCAAGTTAAATCCCAACAGCCAATCAGCAAGTAATGCTCTGTGCAGGTGGAAATGCTCTGTGCAGGTGTTAATCAAGTTAAATCCCAACAGCCAATCAGCAAGAAGAATAGAGGAAAGCTGCATGCCTATTGGTTGATGCCCTGCATTCCATTGTGATGACTCATGCCCAAACGTGGTAAACAAGGCACACTAACACAGTAATACATTTGCTATAACACAGCCAAAAAACTCAAATAAAACCATTCTAAAAGCCTGTATCACAATAATTTAAAAAACGCCCAGGGGTATTTGCCCACTGTACCTCCATACCAAATTTCAGGACCTTGGGCCCTAAAATGAAGAAGCTGAATCCATTTAAAAAATGGCAGGAGAAGGAGAAGAAGAAGAAGAAGATACATCAGAAAAAGCAATATGGTTTCACCACACACCCATAATAAGGCAATCTGTTTGATATTGACACATTAGCACCCACATTAGGATATTTGAATCAGTATTTCACACTTTTGGCATTTGAAACTGCAGAAACAAGCCCCAAAATTAGTCCTTTATTTTCTGTATGGTGCCATAAAAATCAATCCAGGTCTTTCCAGTAACCGTCTTTCGTCAGAATTTTTGACACGTTTGCTCCATCAATGTCGATATACATTAGGACATTGTTGTTTCAACTTAGTATGTAGATAAGTGACTAGAATATTGAATTTGAAAAATCTGGTTTCTAAGCCCTAAAAATTGCATTGGATGCCTTAAATAGAACTTTGAAAAAGTTTGTCCCAGTTTGTAAGTCTTTGTGTGACAGAAGAGATTTCTCTTACCTTGCTGGCCCTTCCATTTCTGGTCCGAAGCGGTAATCTATGTCCAGCAGGCCTTGCCAGGAGGATGGAACAAGGGGCCCACCCATGTGCCTGTGTGTATAGCAACATAGAAACAACTAGAAAGATAACATTTACAGAGCAAACCCATAATATTTACCACCACAAGGTCTAGCCTAACTAAACTAAACTAAACTAAACTAAACTAAACTAAACTAAACTAAACTAAACTAAACTAAACTAAACTAAACTAAACTAAACTAAACTAAACTAAACTAAACTAAACTAAACTAAACTAAACTACTGCATTGTTTATTCTTACTCAAACACATTCGTATACTACGGGGACCAGCCCCTTCAAAACTGTCCTACAACTTGCAACATAATGTAACCCAAGACCACTGGGCGCCCGCTACAGCACCAGTTACCATGGTGACAGACATCTGGTCCAGGTTATTGCTGTTAGGAGACATTTTGTCTTTGTAGATGGTAGAACAAAAAACGGCCAGTCTTTCTGTTCATCATACCAGCGAAATTACAGAATAGAAGAGAATGATAAATGTTGGAGAGAACCCTACAGTTAAACCTGTTGGTTCACATATATTACCTAAGGAGCTCCATGGCATCTGTGTACCCTATGACGTGGACGGGAATGGTGGGCAGCTGGTCACTGTCACTCTGGTCAATTCTGTAGGCATAGTCTGAAACACAGATGTTCTTATCATCACTGTAAACATGTTTAGTGTGTAGTACAGTTGTATAACTCAGTCATTTGGATATTGGACACCGAACAAGACTACGTTCTGAAAAAGGCTATTTACATCAGGGCTCATCACCCTTCACTAAACTGCGACGGGGGCCGACATCGTCTACCAGATACCCCTGACCCAGTGTTGACGTCACACTTAAAAGAAGCCACGTGACTAATCTTACTGGGTCAGTCTACTGAGGAAGACCAGAGTGACTGGTTGAAAGCTCTAGGTGAGAGAATTTTTTGTGTTGGATGAAAAGTTTTAACTTTAAACAAACTCAGTCATTTTGAACTTATTTTTAGCTTAGTTTATTTGTGAGAACACAATATACAAGAAATATGGTAAGTTCGTTATGTAAATTTCCTTCTAAGAACAAGATAAGGGCTAGCTTCTGCCTGATGCTTCCAACAATAACTGTACACATGTATAAGTATGTTGTACCTGTAGCAGGATATCCAGGTGTGAGTGGCTCCCCTTCCCCTACACCGTACAGGTAATGTCCCCTCTGTACCGCTGTACCCGGTGCGTACCAACCGTCCGGATACTTTTTAGTTTTCCCACTCCCGGTTCCAACCACCTCCTTGGGATCTGAGTACACAATCATGCCGATAGCGCCACGGTCTTGGGCACGACGCAACTGGATATGAAAGTTTAAATTGCTAGGAAAAGGTTGAACTTTATTCCAACACATACAGGGATATATACAGGGATCAAATTTTCAAAGTTTATAACTTTTTAAGAGGCATTAAGGAGGCCATATATATCAGAGCACTTCAGCCTTCAGTTAATAGAGATGGTGGACGATATAAACTCCCTGGCACTTTTGATCAATTACTTACGTCACGTATCAGTAAAATCTCGTGTGAATAAGGTCACGTGTTTGTAAGCCGTAATTCTCACGAGATCACATTGTGAAGTGATTGGTCATTAATTATCCTGATGAAGGTGATAGTGGTCGCTGAAAATTTGATCCCTGTATATATTGTATGTTGGCATAAAGTTCAACCTTTTACTATGAGTACTACCAACACAGATGAACTTTCATGATAAGTTTAAATTGATAATAACTATAGAAATTTGGTTATGCAGATAGTACATAATGTTTACCTTTACATGGCTCTTTTCCAACAAATTAGCGCGCTGTTTAGTCCTAATCAAATATACATATATGGTGACCAGCCCCTCCAACTCTGTCCTGTTGCTTGCTACATAAAATTATCCGACACTACACTAAAGGGTGTCTGCTACAGCGCCAGTTACCATGATAACAACTGCCTGGTCATGAATCTTGCTGAATAACCTGCTGACAGAATAGCAGATTCCACACGATATTACACATACAGAAAAAAATGTAAAATCACACTGTACTTTACCTTTTCATTGGTTTTCAAGATTTTAAAAGTCAGCTAAAACTGGACCAATGTTTCACTGTTTTATTCATTCCTCACCTTGCGCCCTCGTGAAGTCTTTCCGTACCGGGCGATGGCGATCTTCCCTTCAACAGAAATACCCCGACTTTTCAGCAGGTCGAAATCGGACGTCCGTGCGTAGTTTACGTACACCAGATTTCCCTGAAAGTTTGTGCGATAATGTGAAGCTCATCTGTACCTCAAATATTGTATCAGTACCATAAGGCGAAGGCCTACTTGATACTTCCGCCGATCCCAGTTTAATAGTCTCGGTCGCACTTGCAGATTTACTTTTCAGAGTCTTAAAGGTATGCCTACACTGTCTCTACCAGACCTAGTACGCTGGATAGGGAGAATATATAATATTTGCCGGATGAGTTTGGTCGCCTTGCCAGGGGATAGGAAGCCCTGGTGGAGGCTATGCCTACAGTATGCAGCCTTAAGTTCATCTGAAACTCGCAATCGGGGAATCTTGGCACATGTATCTCGAGATCTATCTCACCAGTTTGGACTTCGATCACGTTTCCAAATGGAGAGTCTCCATGACCTCCTTGGCGGAGGCTGCGTTCATTACGGCAACTGCGGCTAGGCCATTAGAAACAAAACCCTTTCTTAGGGCCAGTTTACACGGGGCAAAAAAATCAGTTGCCCCACAACAATCGCTTCGCGGTGCTACGCGGCGCTTGTTGTACGAGTAGGACAGATTTTTTGACCGTGTAAACAGGCCCGCCACTGCCTGTCAGAAAAATCTGTGTGCTACAACACGCGCGGCGTGCGGGTCAATCGTCGTTGGACAAATGATTTTTGCCCCATGTAAATTGGCTCTCAATGACGCATTCTACACTGTCATGGGTCAATTCCATGAACTGGGCCTTAGTTCATGTGTGTGATTGTATGTCTGTGTGTTTCCATTACCTCCACAACTCCTGAAGGTGAGTAAGCTGCAAAAGGCGGCGGTACACCGGAGATGTTGAACGGCGGGTCTACATCAAGCTGTGGCTCACCGGCCACAGAAGACCTGAACATTTCATTCCCAGACCTGCCGAGTAGACCAGCCAGGCAAAAATTTAGTAGTAGTAGTAGTAGTAGTAGTAGTAGTAGTAGTAGTAGTAGTAGTAGTAATAGTAGTAGTAGTAGTAGTAGTAATAGTAGTAGTAGTAGTAGTAGTAGTAGTAGTAGTAGCGACCCTGTCTCAGAAATAATGATTGTTTTAGATAGGTAAGTACTTTGGGCAGGTGGAACATTTTTGACCTCGACCTTCGTTTTCACAACAGCTACTCTCATCCAAAATATCAATAAGATCATATCAAAAATAATCAGAAAATGGGCTTTAAAAATTCAGTTTTACTGCCCTGAAAGTATTCATAGAAGAGTGCAAAAAGTATAAAAGATCACAAAAGTGTCCCAAGTAAGTTACAGTGCACGAGAAGGCATAAATACCAGGTGATTCTAACGGTTGCTCTTGGTATTTGATGCCTAAGGTAAATATCATGAGACTTACCTGGCTTCTATTGCTATTATTTAGGTTAACATTTTACCGGACGTACCAAGCAAACTTACCTGGAGTTTATTGCTTTTGGTTAATCCTGCTTTTGGCTTAATTGTTGAATTCCGGGCGTTACCTAATCACCAGATTATGTCCTCGCCATATCTGATGACATATCTGATGAGTTCCGCAAACCTTGTGGCATGATATCACCAGTATGTGTACATAATAAAGTTGTATTTACCAAATAAATCCAGTGTATCGCCTAATTATTCGTTTACCTTTACCTTTATCAGGCGTACCCGTCATTTATTGTACTTCACAAATCCTATTTTAATTCCATGCAGTGTTAAGCCCCTGTCGATCTCCCGAAGACTGCCGAACTCTCTCCAACCATGGACGGGAGCAGGTTGGGAGCAAGGTGGTTGGCATGAATTCGGCGAGGTTAAGAACATTCGGGTGTGGACGGGATGTTCGGCCATGGTTGGCTATTTTGTTGGCTGGCGTTCGGGGATGGCTCAGCAATGGCTGGGTTGTGGTTGGAAGTCAGCTGTGACTCAAATTTAACTTTTTTTATTCAAAAGGGATACCTACGAGCGTGGGCTAAATTTGGTCAGACTGCTCCCGAACTTCGTGCAACCTATGTAGGTGGAGGGGGGAGGGGGTTCTAAACGTGTGACAGGGGCTTTAGTCATTAGAACGTAAAGGATACAATAACTTGCAATAAAATATAATCACGGTGCAACAGATGAAATGTTTCCTTCCTTCGTTCGGCTCGGAAACAAGAGGTCATGAGTTCGAATCCTGTCATGCCACCGATCTCGTGCCTACACTTCGTCACTTTAGTGAAAATGACTGTATGTGTTGTCCGTTCATTCGTCTGCCTGCGTTGGTGGTGGCATAAAGATAAGTTAAAAAAACTTGGAGTTATTGAACCGTCACCATGTCTTGTAATAAATGTTGGAATAAAAAACAATGTTTCCTTACTCATCAAGTAGCGCCACGTAGCTGGGACTGTCCGGGTGTGGGTAGGAGAGCAGCACGTCGTACGGAGCGATTCTAGCGGAGTCCAGACCCTGGTCCTCCCACGTCTGTCTCACGTACTCCGCTAACTCGTACCCACCCTGGGTACCCGCCATGTGGGGCTTCTCTGTCAGGATCCTGAAGCAAAAAGTAAGCTAGGTATAAGTCTATTGTAACTTGGCACAGACATAGACCTTGTCATGAGATAGACCAATTTATTTATTTATTTATTGATCTTCAAACAGTTGGTTGGTACCTTCAGTTTAGGGTAGCCCAATAGAACAGTTACAAAGGACATAGACATAAATCACATTAAATGTCCTCCCTGGTGTGAGTGGATCAAACCTCACAGTCTTATGGCCGTACCCAGGAGAACAAAAGAAAACAGTTAAGGAACATCTTGTCTGCCCTGTCTACTTTTCCTTCTTTTTTTATTTTGACCTCTGTTTTAAAACGACCTAGCCTTGGACTTTGAGTTTTGGACTATGACTCTGTTTTGACGCATTGGAGTTTGTGTTTTTATGTAATACTGTATGTTATCCTCCTTTCTTTGACGAAATGTAACAATGTCGCGTTTTGTCTATTGCAAGCTTTATGGTTCTATCCAGCCCTCTTGAGATTAAATAGATAAAAAAAATGATAAATTTATTGTTACAGGTAAATACTGTTACAAGTGAGTATTGAGGTCACTAGAACACTGAAAGATCATTACAGACCCTTGCGATTGAGCCCTGCAAATTGTAAGCTCATCGCATTGCAAACCCTGGTTGCCAGGAGAGAGCGGTCGGTCCACCCAATAACAAATGTTCGCTCAGAGGAGGTATACAATCAAGCAAAACTGGCTGGCTGTAGATACATTGTAAAACTGACTGGACGCAAGATAATCAACTTCTGCAACCACAGAACAAATGTTATAAAGATGACAGAAATATGCAAAAGATATTAAGATGAATTGTCTGTCAGGATTTTTCTTAAGTTTACCTTAGAAATTCCTCAATGCGTGCTGGGTCCATCTCGCCTCTGAGCTGAGCAGCCCAGTCTTCCTGTGTCAGCACGCCGCCAACAAGCCCGAAGATCGTAGCGAGGACCAGGTACCTCCTTACGGCCATTGCGTCTAAAAGTGCCGTAGATAGCTATGTAGTGAACTCCGACGTAGTATTGTCCGTACGTTCAAACCAAGTAGCTTGCAGATCAGTAGTACCGAATTGGTGCGTAGCTAATAGTGAGTCAAGAAGATTAGGAACCGTTACAAGTAGCAGCCGCACCACGCACTGAAGTCTAACGCATTGCGAACCCCTTTTTATTTGCGAATTCGCGAAGCGCGCGTATCACTCCGCGCGGTGAAAATGTCGGCGTGTCACAATGCGGAAGGTGTTTTCAACCCGGATGATCCGTATATGTCAATATGCATGGTCAAAGTTCAATACCGTGTTTTCAATGCAGACCTGCGGCTGTGTGTGAGAGAGAATAGACAATGCGGCTGTGTGTAAGAGAGAATAGACAACGTGTGACTCTGAATGCCAAATAACTTTAGGGCGGTGGAGACTTTTCAGACTTGTGTTATCTCTTCAAATATTCCACGGGAAAGCGCGTATCTTAAAGTTAACACCCCGTTCAGTCTGCTGACGCTGTTGATGAATTGTGAGATTTAACAATGCCAGGTAATTAGTCTGGTAATGGTTTGTTTTGGGCCTTAATTTGATGCTTTAGGCAAATATTGTCAGACTTCATCACCCTTTACCTTTTGGGAACCCCTGCCATCGCTAAACAGAGACGGTGGATACCCTGTCACGTTTGACCAATTGCTGACGTCGCGTATCCGACAGTCTCGTGTGAATAAGGTCACGTGTCCGTAACTTGAAAGGATTCAAAAGAGAGCATGCAGGATCATTCTGTCCACATTAGAGCTTACGTACCGCCCTTGCTGACCGTTGGATCCGACCAAAGTCGCCAGCTCACTACTTCGATCAGACTTCAGAGACTGCCACCTCCCCCCCATTCAGAGAACATATCAGGACGTTCAATACGTAGTTCCCAGAGACAGTCCACTATGTCGGACGAACAAATGCAAATGCCATTGAACTGACGACATGTAAATGTATTCACAGTATGACACAATGTATTCATTGTATAAGTATATGTGGATTAATATACTTGATACTTAATAATGGAGATTGAGCTTTGCTGGACATGTGTGGAGACTCCCCGATCCCAGAACCACAAAAACAGCCCTAACATGGAAGCCAGAAGGCACACGCCCGAGAGGGCGGCCTAGAGTGACCTTGCGGAAAACACTACAAAATGATGGGGTAAAACTTGGACTTAACTCACTTAAGGATATGGCAGTAGTGGCGCAAGACCGAAACCTTTGGAGACAAAAAGTCAGACAAGGAGTCGACCTATGCAACAAGGTTGCGGGAGGATCTAAGGTCTAAGGTAAGGTAAGGTAATCCTGACTGGCACATGCTTTTTACCTTCGCCAAGAAGGTTATGTTTTCAGGGGCGTTCGTGTGTCTGTGTGTGTGTGTGTGTGTGTGTGTGTGTGTGTGTGTGAGCACGATAACTCAAGAAGGCTAAGATGGATTGTCTTGATATTTGGTAGGTGGATAGGTCTTCATAAGACAAGGAACTGATTGGATTTTGGGCCCCCTAGCGGCTTGTTATGGTACTGCAGCTGAACTTCTGGTTTTGATATCTCGTGATCTAGACATGCTAGGGTGACGAAATTTAGAGGGTAGGTAGCTCTTGTGCTGGGGAAGAAGTGACGTGAGTTTGGACCCCCTAGCGGCTTGCTCTGGAACTGCAGGGGCGTTAGTTGAAAAATGTTTAAAGGCGGATAACTCAAGAACCGATTGATGGATCGTTATGATTTTTTGGCATGTAGGTAGCTGAAATGATGCTTGACATAATAATATTATAATTATGCAAATATTAATGTAACTTGCATAATTAATGAGGGAATTCTATAAATCAGCTGCATTCCACGATGGGACTATTCAAGCTTGTGACATATGTAATTAAGAACGGCAGAAATACAGGCAGATATCGATTATGCAAATGAAGACTTAATTTGCATAATTAATGAGAAAATGTTACAATTACATAGTGGTAACTGTCTGGAATTTCATACTTGGGATATTTAAAAGTTATGTGAAGGTGAACATTATTAAACATAACTTATTCAAATCAGGACCTCATTTGCATAATTTATGAGGAAATACTATAATGGCATTCTTTGATAAGATAAGACTGTCTTCTGGTGTAGAATATGATCAATAGATATAATTGATGCAATATAGGATCCTATTTTCACAATCAGGGGGATTAATCTATAATTTCTTAGTCATAAAGACTAACATCATTTGGCGAAAGTATGAGATCGTGGAACTCTAGTCTTGAACATGAATCTGTTTTTATGATAAGTGTATTTTTTCATCTAAATAATTGAGAGTGTTTGTATTACTTTGTATGCAAATTAAAAACTGCTTGTAAATTCAACAAAATTCAGGCTATTTCGAATTCCAAATCTGCTGCTTGAATAAGCATTCATTCGTTCATTCATTCATGACAAGTCATTCAACTCTCGCGGGTTTACGTAAAAAGTGATTAGTCATATTTCTTATCCTGAGGAAGACGACAGTGGTTGTTGAAAATTCGATGTTGTGTGCCCTTGTGTTGGAATAACGTTCAGCATTGTACTATGATCACTAGAAAACACAGATTAACTTCCAAGTCTACTGCTTGATCATGAGCGATATACATGACCTAATCCAGGTTATCACTGTAACCTAGAATTTTCTACACCCTGAGCCTGTTGTCAATGTGTATACATGTATATACCTTGTATGTCTATTGTAGATGCAGTGTGTGTGTACATATAACGTTGGTAAATAAGATGAACTACCATGTTTAAAGAAACCGAGAAATATACACAGATATTCCATCATTCTGTTCGATCCTAAATCCCTTCTCCCGAAGTAAATAACAATCTTGTAGAAATCTAACACTATTCAAAGGACTCGCATGTGGTTGTGACCGTTGTGTTTGGATCATGTTATAAGGTCGCCCCCACCGATTGTTTACAAAGTATACACAAACAATACTAACAGTCAAAGATACGACAAGGATAAGAGCAGCTCAATGTACAACACAGCGAGTGTAGCAGGCTTATAGGCGCTATCTGTTCAACACCACCGGTTCAATATTAAAAATTTAATAAAAAAAAAACGTAATTCTATTTTAGCCGATTTTCTTGCATTGTGTTTCTCATGGATGATGATCAAAATTTCAACCATTGATCAATATCGATTCACTCAAAAGCAATCGATCTAATACATCGTAACATTGATCCTCTGGTACACATACTACGTACCAGTTTATTGTCCTAATTTCTACTCGTGCAACTTCTATATTTAAATAAAAAAATAAATAAATAAACATGCATTCTTGCAAAGCTGTCAACTATAATCACTTGATCACGTCTTTACGTTTAATGAGTTTTGTTGAAATTTAATTATTTGTGTTTTCTTTTCTTCTGTTTTGTTTTCTTTTGTTTTGTTTTGTTTGAAAATAAACAGGTCAGTCATGGGTCAGCGTGGCATTCAAAAGAGAAGGCATCAAATAGAGGACCACTGGCGGGAAAGTGCTTGTTTAGTATTCCATCCAAAGAGACTGGTTGACAGTTGTTTTTATCTGGTGCCTGAGATCAGGTGGAAACATAAACATCGATGGTTGACTGGAAATCCCCCGGAGAGCACCGCACGGTCACTGTGGTCATTGACAAATATGCATTCACACTGGATGTTACAAGGGGCTACAACTGACTGAAAATGGACAAACGGATGCTTTTAGCATGCATACTAATTTCAGGGTTCGCCTCTCTCGCGTCGGCCCAGCTCCGAGGGTGAGTACATCCTGCTGTATCAAGTAGGGGGCCTGCATGGGGGGTGGGGGGTCCCGACAACGCTCTACGCTGAATTCGGAAACTTCTCGATTACGCTTTACGGTAAATTCCAAGTGGCTACAACGCATTACGTAGAATTAAAACGGCAAATACGCTCTACGCAAAATGCGCCAATTACGCTCTACTTTGAATTAGAGCGGTCCGTCTACGCTCTACGTAGAATTCAAACGGCCGATTACGCTCTACGCAAAATGGCATGAGGGCCCCCTCAGAACCATGCTCTTGCACGGTTCTAGATACTAGTTAGCCCACCCGTATCCAGAACCGTACCAGGGGAAATTCTACGTTCTTGGATACGCGAAGACTATCCAGAATCATGCCTGATCATATATAGACAATCACTCTCACCCAGCTTTACTGATATCAGTTTCTCTGTTATGTCACTTGTATAATTTTCTTTCAGCACAAATTGTATTGTGTTGTGTTGCGTTGTGTTATGTTATGTTATGTTATGTTATGTTATGTTATGTTATGTTATGTTATGTTATGTTATGTTATGTTATGTTATGTTATGTTATGTTATGTCATGTCATGTCATGTCATGTCATGTCATGTCATGTCATGTCATGTTGTGTTATGTTATGTTATGTTTCCCTGGGCCCTCTTGGAAATCAGCAATTAATGTTGATGGGGCCACCCAGGTGTTATTTAAGATGAAATAAATAGATTATTAAATCGGCTTACATTTTCCACAGACCTGAGGGCGCGGTGTGTACACGTCAGGCGTCCCGACAGGTGATGTACACCGTTGAGAACAGGAGAAAACGGGAACCTTCATCCGGCATCTGGGACTTCGTGAGGATGTTGGACGTCTTCGCCATTGGGAAGACTAGGTGTGTAACGTCATGATTGTGTACTATGGTGTTTAGCTGGTGTGTTATACACATACAGGTGCAGATACAGACACAATTATACCATAATTCCAAACAGAGTAATGTCATTGCGCTAAAAATTACCCATATTAATTGATAAACTAGTTTATAATTTCCAAAAATATTCCATCGTCTTAAAAGCAAGTCATTGTGAAATTTCAAGGCCGGCTTGTCACTAACCTACACCATAATCACTGCAGTCACAACCTATAAAAGGCTAATACATGTATACTACGCCCTCCATCAATTACTTAATTCTTGTTTTGTACGTTTACTTGACAGTTGTTCAAGTGGCTTCTACGGAGCATATTAGCATTTTTAGTTCTTCCAATTCTCGATTCTTTCTTGATCTTCTTGCTATCTGATTTCTCGTGGTTAGAAACCCCCGGAGTCTGGTGACTGTTTATTCCACGGAGTATTTCACTGACTACGAGTGCTGTGAGGGTTGGAACAGGATCGGCGACACTTGTCAGGGTGAGATATGAACTTCTCATTATACTGTAGATAGAAAAAAAAATAATGAATAACCTTTGGCTTTGCCAAAGACAAGCATAGACACTTTCAATCTACTTATGTCATGTCCCGGTTCCATGTCTACCTCAATACGCCATTTACGTTATAGCTATGCAGTTATAGTTTCTAGTAATAGACTAGTATGATTGTAAAGACCACATTGTCATCCTTGCCATACATTGTACCATGTACAACTGTCGTGCGATCAAGATCATTCATTCAATGAATGAATGAATGAAGACCATAATTGTATGCAAATACCCACTGGGTTCAGTACAGGTCACAGGAAAATCTCACTGCCCCTCAAGTTACTCTCCAAGCAGAGGTTTGGGCTTTGGCTTATTTTTGGTGTGTTTTAGGCATTTTTATCGGACTTTCTTTTTTGTACTGGTATCTTTTTTCTGCCTAAACCTCTGCTTGAAGAGTACTGTTTTCTATAGAACATTTTTTTGTAATCTTCCAAACCCTGTCCATCTCATTTTCTAAACTTTAGATCTTGATTTGATTACACGATTTTCAATCGTTTCATTTTAAACGTTTTGTCAAATATTTCAGTGGAAGCAAGTAACCTGAAATTAATGTTAAAGTGGATACCGGCATGATATATGTTTTGGGATGCTTATGTTTATCGTTCAGCTTCATGCGACGTGTGTGTCGGAACCAAAAAATTGATTTGATACGATTTTTTGGTCTTTCTTGGACTCCTGAAGCTGACTGCCACTCCCCTTGTGAGCACGGCCTGTGTGTTGATACGAACATCTGCGAGTGTGATGAAGGTTGGGAAGGCCAGCAGTGTGAGCACGGTAATGTTCGTTAGTCACGCATGTAGTGCATTTGTTTTGTCTTTGAATATCAATTAATAAATGGTCTATTGGCCAAATATCACCCGTGCAACCGCAGCCTTATAGTGCTGAATTGATGCAGGGTTTACAATCAGATGATACAAATGGTAATAATACACATAATAATACACATAATACACATGATACTGTTTGTTCCACACTGTTGTGGAACTGCCGCAAGGGTCTGTATGTGCGGCTGCCAATCGGCGCCGCAAATTTCCGTCTCGTAAACGGTCGTCGCCTTTCCGAACGGTCGTCGCCTTTTCTCAGAACGGTCGTCGCCTTTCGGAGCGGTCGTCGCCATTTCCGAGCGACCGAACTTCAGTTCCGAATATCCGCGGCATGTTCGGGACTTCCCGGAGTTCTTGGAATGTGTGAATCGCACTCAGTCCATAACATGGCGACCATAGGCAGGCCAGAAAAGTAACTTGTCTCCTCAACTGCTGATTTTATAAGATCAGCATACGATCCTAGGCCTGGATCTTCTCCAGCCTATTCTTGTTTCCCTTCGCCAACAAACTGAAGAAGGGTTCATATAATGCCGTTTATACAAATGACAAATGAATCTTCAACCAAAAACAAACATAGATTCCGTCCCTGTGCTATATTTCTCAATCCCTGTGGTATGTATTCCTTTCGTTTATGTAAAATTCATGTAGGATTAATAAAGGACCTGCTGTTTTAGAAGGGGGACAATGTCTTACTTTGACAGGAGTTTTGACAAACTTGTAAAGCTATTTTCACCCCGAAATGTCTATGTTTTGTTACCTTGCTGAATGTTAATACTTGACACATTCACCACTGCACTGTATGTAAATACGACACATTCACTGGGTAGCACATCAATGCCATGCTGGTGACAAGTGTGAAATGGCCTGCTATGCTGGGCAAGCACTGAGACAACAAAATAAAACCCGGCTGTGGTGGAGTTGTGAGTCAGTCAGTCAGGACATAATGTCCTTGGTCAGAGTAAATGCCTGCATGTGTGATGGTGCTTCCGAATGAATGTTTCTGAGTCAGACCATCCTGCAGCATTCATAAATTACATGCTCGCACAATGGGCTGTTCCAAAAATACATGTGGAGTTTTTCTCGCCCCCGTTTCAAATTCAGCAATGTATGAAAACCTACAAACGTTCTAGTTCAGAGGGTTTTTTTTTTCAAATAATGTTTATTCGCATTTCAAAAGGAAACAAAGAAAAAAGGGAGAGGACATGTTCACATACAAGAAAAATAAATACCCAGAGACATTCGAGTTCAGGGTTACCCAAACCCTTCCCGTTCCAATCGAGAATTTCTCAAACACTAACCTAGTTCTAACCTAGATAATTCAACCCCCGGAACTTATAATTATAATACATGTACTAGCACCCACGCAACTTCAATCCACCTAGCCAAGTTCTGGCCCGTCTTCGGTCGCGATGTTATCTTCAGGAAGTGTGATTTCACACATTCAAAGAACTCGGGGAAGTCCCGAACATGTCGCGGATATTCGGAACTGAAGTTCGGTCGATCGGAAATGGCGACGACCGCTCCGAAAGGCGACGACCGTTCTGAGAAAAGGCGACGACCGTTCGGAAAGGCGACGACCGTTTACGAGACGGAAATTTGCGGCGCTGCATCGGCGCCACATGGGCCCCAACCGAAGTTAGGTACCCATTCACACCTGGGTGGAGTGAGGAAAGTCGTGTTAAGTGTACAAGGGTACAACGTCGGGGCGCATGTTCAGACATGTCCCGGGTACAACTCGGGATCGAACACGGATCTCCCGGTTCACAGTCGAATGATCTACCACTACGCCGCCCGACGCCACAATATTGGACCGTCAGGGTGAACCGAAGGACGCGCACGTGTCTGGTAGTGCGTGCATGGCAGCATTTCGAAAACACTGACTCTTGCTGACGGCAACTTCCCAGTAAACAGGGCATTATATCTTCAATCATGCCAATAAAGCAAAAATGCAATTAGGAATTCAGTAGAAATTAAGAATGATTAGTAAAAAAAACTAACAACACTGAATGAAAGTTTATGTTTAAGATTAGATAGCGTTTCGCTCGTCTTTGCATTTTATATCCATTGTCTTTTTTCTATGCAAAATTCTCTTCGATATGAATTTGTTGTAATGGCTATAACAAAAAAACGCCACTTTTCTATTTCTATGTATTCCTACGTCTCATTTAACATTATATGCGGTTTTATCTGTGCAGATGTGAACGAGTGCCTGTATAGGATAGACGAGTGTGATCGTCTGAACGGCTACTGCATCAACACAGAAGGGTCTTACAACTGTACCTGTCACGACGGTCTACAGCCTATCAACGGGACAGTCTGCCAAGGTAGGATGCTAAGTCTGAAATATGTCAGATAGAAAGAAAAACTTCACGAAAAGCATAGTTACAGTATCTCTTTATCAGAGTGCAATCAACTACCTCCCAAATCTACTTCAAGATGCCTACGACTCGTTCAACTTCATTCTGTTAATCACTTACATTGACTACAGTAAGTTGAATAACGTAAATTCTCTCTTCAATTCTCTTGACACTGTTCCTGTTTTCCCTCCACAGAAACAAAGCCTTGCAGTTTTGTACGTTGCCCGAATGAATGTTTGATGTACATCATGTCAATACGCCAATTACGTTATATTTGTGTATCTAGCAATAGTTCCTAGTAATAGACTAGTATGATTGTAAAGACCACATTGTTATCCGTGCCATACATTGTACCGTGTACAATATTAACTGTCGAGCAATAAGGATCATTCATTCATTCATTTTCACTGCCCCTCACTGTTACTCTCCAAGCAGAGGTTTGGGCTTTGACTTATTTTTGGTGTGATTTTAGGCATATTTTGTCGGGCTTTCTTTTTTTGTACTGGTATCTTTTTTGCCTAGACCTTTGCTTGGAGAATACCCCACTGTTTTCTATAGAACACTTTTTTGTAATCTTCCAAACCCTGTCCGTCTCATTTTCTAAACTTTAGATCTTGATTTGATTACACGGTTTTCAATCGTTTTATTCAAACGTTTTGCGATGTCCAATATTTCAGTGGAAGCAAGTAACCAAAAATTAATGTTAAAGTGGATACTGGAGTGATACTAGTATGTGTTTTGGGATGTTTATGTTTATCCTTCAGCTTTACTACTGCGTGCTTCATGTGACCTGTGTGCCGGAATCAAACATTGATTTGATACGATTTTTTTTGTCTTTCTGGGACTCCTGAAGCTTACTGCTACTGGCCATGTGTACACGGTCTGTGTGTTGGTGGGTACGTCTGTGAGTGTGATGCAGGTTGGGTTGGCCCACGGTGTAAATACGGTAATGTTCGTTAGTCACGCATGTAGTGCATTTGTTTTGTCTTTGAATATCAATTAATAGATGGTCTATTGGCCAAATATCACCCGTGCAACCGCAGCCTTATAGTGCTGAATTGGTGCAGGGTTTACAATACAAATGGTAATGATACACATAATAATACACATAACACACATGATACATATTTGTTCCACATTGTTGTGGAACTGCCGCAAGGGTCTGTGCGGCTGCCATTGCATTGGCGCCACAAGGTGACCTCAATACGGCTTTCCCCAATCGAAGTTAGGTACCCATTCACACCTGGGTGGAGTGAGGAAAGTCGTGTAAAGTGCCTTTCCCAAGGGCACAACGTCGGGACGCATGTTCAGACATGTCCCGGGTACAACTCGGGATCGAACCCGGGTCTCCCGGTTCACAGTCGAATGATCTACCACCGCGCACGTGTCTGGTAATGCGTGCATGGCAGCATTTCGAAAACACTGATTCTTGCTGACGGCAACTTCCCAGTAAAACATGTTAAAGATTAGATTGCGTTTATCTGTTCTTTGCATTTTATATACATTGTCTTTTTTCCATGAAAAATACTCTTCGATATAAAGTTGTTGTAATGGCTATAACAAAAAAAAAACACTTTTCTATTTCTATGTATTCCTACGTCTCATTTAACATGATATGCGTATTTATCTGTGCAGATGTGGACGAGTGCTGGGAAGAGATAGACGAGTGTGATCGTGAGAACGGCGCCTGCATCAACACAGAAGGGTCTTACAACTGTACCTGCAACGACGGGCTACAGCTTATCAACGGGACAGTCTGCCACGGTAGGATGCTAAGTCTGAAATATGTCAGATAGAAAGAAAAACGTCACGAAAAGCATTGTATCTTTTTATCAGAGTGCAATCAACTACCTCCCAAATCTATTTCAAGATGCCTACGACTCGTTCAACTTCATTCTGTTAACTAGAGGTCGGAGATCTCATGTCTTCGTCAGAGGTACATCGTTCTAGAGAAATTAACATGCGTATTCTTCACTCTTTTTAATAATCAATTTGGTCTAAAGAACAAAAGAATCTCTGTACTATTTTTATGGTACAGAACACCCTGAAACGGTTTCCCGCAGATTATACAGATGCGTCGTCACCCGTGTTAGCCCCCCCCCCCCTACGTTATTTGAGTTTGGACTGTTACTGGAAAAAAAAACGTTCAAGAAATTCTTACTGTGTTGAAAGTGTCACGACAGCGCCGCAAAATATAATAAGAAAAGATGTTATAAAGGAAAGAATCAGAACAGGGTGACTACTGCTGTTTTGTTAATTTGTCTTTATGACAAATAGAAGACTTGTTTCTTGTGTTCTTTGTGTCCTAACATTTGTACTTCTACAGTTAGTATATTCCAAATATAGGCATCTCGTTTTTCGGCCCTTCGTGTTTTTATTGCGCGCTTGCCTTAAATTTAAGGTAATTAGATTTAAGGTCTCCAGTGGACGTCATCCATAGCAATTACTTGGTGTGGCCGTAGAAAATAACCTGACATATGTCCAACCTATCCTCCCCCTGCTGAAGTTATAGTACAATCCCTCAATGTAACGTCATTTGATCCCATCCCATTATGGGTTCCCCGGCTATATCCAGCTGTCGGCTGTCTCCAAGCAGATTTTTTTTTTGGTCTCCAAGCAGATGTAGGTGGGGGATTTCTAAACACAAAAGGTCCTATTACGGGGACATAACGACCTCCACGACTCTCATCTTTGAACTCAATCTTGGAGACCATGTCAGTAATATGCCTATCAAATTTCATTAACTTCCATCCACACATACAAAAGTTATCCTGCTCACAAGAAAAATTAACAAAATGCCCCCTGTAGTCACAACGAAACCCCCCACGAAGCTCAGTAACGAACTTAACCTTGGTCCCAACAATAGTAAGCACCACACCAAGAATTATAATCAACATTT